AGAGAGAGAGAGAGAGAGAGAAAGAGAGAGAGAGAAAGAGAGAGAGAGAGAAAGAGAGAGAGAGAAAGAGAGAGAGAGTATGGGTGAGTGTGTAAGTGCGCGTGCGTGCGTGTGTGTTTGTGTGTGTGTGATGTGTGTGTGTTTGTGTATGTGTGTGTGTGAATACGTGTGCGTGTCTTTTTTTAACCATAGCAAGGCAGCCAAGTCGTTGGAAACCTAGTTCGGGACCTATCTGACTCGTGCCTATTATGTGCACGTAAAACTTCTGAGAAAACTGCCTCCTTTTAAGTGAATTTACAAAGTTTAACTTAGCTGCTTTCGAAAAATTAAATATTTAAACAGTTTTTCAATGTAAGCATAGCCTATGGTTCCATTTGTCTCCTATTGAAAATATAACGTGTATGCAAGTCTTAGAGCATATTTGTATGAACTACCGTATCGGGAACTTTCCTTTGTTACGTTTGCTACGTGCTTCACATAATAAAAAAAACTATTATTGTATTGTTTACTCGGGAATGACACGAGAGACAAACATGTTTTGAACAACCCAAACCCCTAACAGAACTTACTGTTCTTCCAAACTCGCTATGACGCTGTTTGATAGCATATTCACACTAGCTACCACTAGAGGTGGGCAAAATCCGGTTAAACTATCGGGATAACCGAATAATTCTCAATGAAACATGGTCCGAATTCAGACTTTTCACTCTCTGTGCTGACCTGTTTGCCGAAGTGGGTGCACCCATTTGATTTGTTGAAGTGGTTCGAAATAGTTTGTTGATGTGGCTCTAACACATTTGCCGAAGCGGTTCATAGCATATCATTTGCCGTAGAGGTGCACTAACATATTATCCGGATTTTGCTAAAGCGACTCATTGCCCAGCCCTAGCTACCACATACATGTATAAGGTACTTTCTTTAACGATGTGTGCTACGTGTTTTAGTTTTAGTATGGTTTTTTTACGGCATTTCCAAGGCAATAAGGTCATATAAGTGCCGAAGATTAGAGGTGTTACAAGAGAGTAGCAAACACAAAAGAAGGAGGGGAGATAGAGACGATAGATTTTTTATAGGAAAGAAGGAGCAAACCACACCAGCCAACCACAGAAGCTACGGCTTTTTATTTGTTTCTTTTTTCTTTTTTTTTTTTTTTTTTTTTTTTTTTTTTTTTTAGGAAAACAAGTATGAAAAGAAGTAGTTGTCGGTGACCTGTAAGGGTTCCTCCAAAACGTCCCTGCAGATAGAACAGAGGAGTCCGTCGTTCACTTGGCTGACAAAACGGTCCGTGTCCACACCCATGGTGCAGCCTCACAGGACAGGCTTCGGAAACAAAGCAATAAGAGCATTGGGTTACAGTTTATATTTATAGCTTGTTGCTTTTTCTGGATTTTAAAAAAATGTGTAGTCGTCAGTGTTCTACACCCTAAACGACCCAATTTAGATCATTTGGGAGGCGGGCTGCTTCGATCCTGTCTGTCAGAGTCCACCCGGACCGAGTGGGGTACAGCATGTCAGTTGATAAATGGAGAGATGCGTGAATCGATGGTTAAAAAAAACAACCCAAAAACACACACAAAATTTCTGCACTCAGAAATCGAACTCACTTCTTTTATGCTCAACAGCGAAATTACACCACAGACGCAGGTTTTAAATCTCTGGAAAAACGTCTGTGTTTTTACAGTTCAACGAAAAGAAAAGAAAGTTACCC